GATATAAGTCTCAAGGTTCATTTGCAAATAAATAATTTTTGATCTGAGGCATCTTATTATGCAACAGCCCGACTACCCTAACAACACGGGATCTTGCTGGTACATCCCGCTAAGGTCCTACAAATGTCCCAATGTTTCAGACTTTGGTACGATATCCCAGAGATGTTTCTCTTGGGACATCCTCCAGATGTCTTCATTGGATGTTCCAGAAACATCCCATTTGATCTTTTTTATAAACAATATCATGGTTCCATATCTGCTAATGATGATTGACATGATTGAACAGTTCAAACAATCGTGACATTTGAAACATTCAAAAGTTGATGAGAAATGGAAAACTGTATTCGTACATATATACGTATACCTATACCAAAGCCGGCTAATTTCATCGATAACAAATTGAAATAATTCTACTAAATATTCCTCAAGAAGATTACCAAAGTACCTGCTCAACTTCATGAACCATGTAATAAACGACAAAATCAAAATATATCTCTTCAGCATAGTTATTGCTGAATTTATTTGTTATACCAGCCGATAGATGGCGGTACAACAACGTTGCTAAGAGTTACTAACAGCTGTCGACCCAGCGCCAACAAATATGAGCCTCAAACAACTGTTATATCATCTTCCATTAGTTATTGGACCGCACCGACCTTATATTTTCGGATTCGGATTATAGGTCGGCCATTTTCAGGATTTCAGATTGAAAATGATTCATACCGTGTCATCCATTACTGTCATCAAACAAAAAACATCCTATATAAAAGTTTCCTCAAGATGTTCCATATCAAGTACCCTGAATGTTTCTGGTACATCCCGTATCATCCCACAAACATTCTGATGGGATGTTCATAAGACATCGCAAATGCTGACACGAGTGTTGCCAGCAACATCCCAAGAATGTCCCAAGGAAAATAGGGATTTTCCAGAGATGTTCCTATCATCCCATATGGATGTTTCTACGACGTCTTACAGATTAGTTCATTATCTTACATTAGAAAACTTATCCATCAAACTGAAATTACCTTTTATTTAGTCATAATCCACCACCCCAATAATTCCATATAAAGTATTTTCCATATTTGATGAATCACCCTGTATTCTGAGACTCGACATTTCGAACATATGACAATGATGTATGAATTGACCTAAGTATGAGGATATAAGTTTTCTCTGAAATAACTTGGTTATTGCACTAGAGATAGACGTATAAAAAATCTGAAACTGAGAGGGAAAAATCAAACAGAAGAAATAACAATAAAGCATATTTTATTACATCCATAGAGTTCACCGAAGAAAAACAATCACAATCAAATAAATGACCACCATTGCTGAAGTATAATCCTATAAGTAACAAAAAATCCAAAATTATTGGAAACAACAATAATGTGAGTTTTTCAAGAGGAGAATCAAACACTCGTGTACTTTACCTGTGAAAAATGAAGAGTACAATGCTTCACCATTGGAATTTCAGTCAAATTCACTGACGAAGAAATAATTGAAGGTTTTATTAAGATAAAGAAAATACTCGTCACCTCTGGAAGTGGTTCCTAGATGTAGATAACGACAATCATCTGAATAAAATGTCTTTTCAATACTGAAACATATTTCATCAGTCTCCGTTCACTCATGGAAAACCTTGTATTAAGAGGAACGAAAGATATTTTCTAATGTCAACTTTTCTTTCTCTTTTTTCAACTCTGTTTTCATCAGAATATTGAATAAACCATTTGATTATCGTATTGAATTTACTACTATCAGACTTTTAGAAGATTCTCGAACCTTCTGGAAACCTCTACAGTGTGTCCCACTTACCATGCTCACCATGGGTATATTTTTAACGGTGAGAGATACGAGGTCGGTTAAATGACACCAAATGTGGAATTTGTCAAGGCCAACTATAATGTGAAAAAATATTTTGATAAAATCTATTCGTTTTTGTTTTATACGCAAAAAACAGATTTTGATCATTTTCATGTCTCCTCCGTAACTTCTTTATTTATGAAAATATTCAAATAGGAATTTCACATTTTCATGGCAGTTTTTCAAAGTGATTTCGAAAAAAATATGAAATTTATACCAACTCTTCTAGAATTTGAGATATCAGCACCAACTTTAGTTTTTCAAATGTAGGTCATAGCTCACTATGACTTAGTTACAAATAACTTTTTTTTCTCTTACAGATGATATGTCGCAGTAATAGTTTTGTGTTGATAACAATGGAGTTATCGTCATTTATACGAAAACAAAAATTATTTGTAAGCCGCCATCTTGAATTTATGAATATTTAACAGAAAAATCATGATCTCCGACCTCAAAAACCCCCGCTTACCAATTTTGAATGGAATCGGACCAAATCTTGTCCGCCATCTTGGAGCAGCCATTTTTTTTAATTTCAACAAAAATTCCATAACTCCGATCAACTTGAAATTTGGCAGGTGTTCATAATTTCGGTGACAATACATTATGGAATTTTGTTGAAATTAAAAAAAATGGCTGCTCGAAGATGGCGGACAAGATTTGGTCCGATTCCATTCAAAATTGGTGAGTGGGGGTTTTTGAGGTCGGAGATCATGATTTTTTTGTTTAAATTCATGAATTCAAGATGGCGGCTTCCGTATAATTTTTTGTTCTTGTATAAATGACGATAACTCCATTGTTATCAACACAAAACTATTACTGCGACATATCATTTGTAAGAGAAAAAAAGTTATTTTTAACTTAGTTATAGTGAGCTATGACCTACGTTTGAAAAACTAAAGTTGGTGCTGATATCTCAAATTCTAGAAGAGTTGGTATAAATTTCATATTTTTTTCGAAATCACTTTGAAAAACTGCCATGTAAATGTGAAATTCCTATTTGAATATTTCCATAAATAAAGAAGTTACGGAGGAGACATGAAAATGATCAAAATCTGTTTTTTGCGTATAAAACAAAAACGAATAGATTTTATCAAAATATTTTTTCACATTATAGTTGGCCTTGACAAACTCCACATTTGGTGTCATTTAACCGACCTCGTATCTCTCACCGTTGGGAAGATACCCATGGTGAGCATGGTAAGTGGGACACACTGTATAACATTATGGATCACTGTGAGAGATATCAAAATTAGGCATGTCTGTAACATTCAGGAGCATTCCCAGCGAAATCACTCGGCATTAGAAGTATACATTTCAGATATACGGGTGTCTGTAAAGGGTTGGGACATGGCTTGGCTGTGGACTTCTGGGATAAAAACAAGTTGATCTAGGCCAACTTACCTATATCCAAAATCGTCTCGTTGTGTTGGTACAAGGCGTTGAAGTTTTCTTGGAAAAAAATAATGTTGCTCATGAAAAGAGTAGGCTGAGATCGATTTCCATAATTTTTGGCATGGCATATTCTGTGACTGTGAGTCACGTTTTGAGATGTTTTTGATCATCATCACTGACCTGCAAGTGTTTCAAACAACCATGTTGCCGTACAAATCTCGTGATCACTTTTCAGAGGTCATACTGGAAACTTCAATTTTTTTTTCAGAATAGTATATTCTTCAACGCGCGTATAATGATAGCTATTATACGCGAGTAGAAGACTATACTTTCTCTACGACTATATATACGATAGTCAGGAATTTGATGTTATCTAATTATTAATTATGAAAATAATATACTTGATGTATGAATTTTGATGATATAGGTAATAATACAATTGATAGGAATCTTTAATATTCAACGAACTCAATGATGAAACAACACAATAATTATTTGGTCAGTAAATTATGTTTCCCGTACTTGATGACTAAATTTTTAGTGATAATCTCACAATTCGTGAAATTTTACTGTTGGTGTTGCATTTAAATCAACACTGACATTTTCATTCATATTGCTAGTTGATGTTTTTTGTGTGAAGGAACTGTTATTTGATGATGATGAACATTGTTGGATTCATTGAAGAATTCGAATCTGCCGTTTTTTTTATTCAACATGGAATCTTCTAGAAATCCTTCTGCCACCGATGTGCTCTTCCCTCGGCTATTCCAGCCACCATGTCTTTTCAATGCTGTTATACCTCCACCTGCATTGACAAGCAAAGCAATGCCCGGTGTACATCTCGGGATTTGGTAGCTTCAAAAATGTAACTATTTGTTTTCCCATTGCTGCAAACTTATTAATTCCAATTTTCTAAAGAGTACATTTTCCTTTTTGGTAATTCATGAAAAAATTGGAAATCCCAACATTTGCTGCTCGTATATCAATGTACTTTTTACAAAATTGATAAAATTTCCCGGTTACAGTGAACCTCCTTACAATTTTTGTTTTGGTCTCAGGAATAGTTATCATCCATGGAGATCCAAGATCTTGAATATCTCCAATATTCATAGAGTACATTTCTATGGAACGGCAAGCCTCCATTATATCCTCCAGATATCAAAGTTAAAACTTAAAAGACTCTATAAGTCAATCTGACATTCGCGAAAGTCAAGTCGTGACGTGACCCGTAAAATGAAGCAGAGCCTTCTTGAGAAATTTGTTTGGTAGATTTGCTGGTTTTTCATTAGTCTAATCTTTTCAGTTGATGTGGATCCTGAAAATTCTGAATCTGTGATTGGTCGAGTGCCGTTGAATAAAGAGTTGGGATCCACGGTGTCTTGGAATCATCTTCATTCATCAATTACTAACCTATATGTAATCAATGTAGAATACGATAGTCGTAGAGAAAGATAATTATTTCCTCCATAAATATTTTTTGCATCGTGTTAATTTTTGATGGGTTTCGGGGTTCATTTGCAAATAATCAATTCCTGATAATATGATGCATCCTGCGCATTCTTGAAAATTAATCTAATCAGTCGGACTGTTTATTGATCATGGCTTCAATGCATTCTTATTGTAAACAAACTGATATGTTGCTGGTCCACGCGGAATTCACAAGAACTCTCGCGTTACAAATTCAGCGATAGCTATTCAGGATCCAAGGTGAGCACTTCAACGCCTTGTACCAACTCAACGAAACGATTTTGGATTTAGGTAAGTTGGCCTAGATCAACTTGTTTTCATCCCACAAGTCCACAGCCGAGCCATGTCCCAACCTTTTACAGACACCCTGTATAATATTGTTTTTTTATGTCAATGAAAATAATGAGAACGAACTGAAAGAGAAAAGTAGCCCAATGCATACCTCTCGCTCCACCTGAGCACTAATCAAAACACATATAACAATCGTAATAAAGAAAAATTTAGCGCTTTTAGTCTAGTTCTAGCCTCCTGAAACTTCCAGGTAAACTCCCGCTGCCCGTGACGTCCTCAGCCGGGGGCTTGCTCCTCCTCACGATGCCTCTATCGCTCAGGAGGCTCATCTGGTCGAAGGTGAGGAGGCGGGGCCTCTTGGCCTCCAGTTCCGCTTTCCAGAGGCGGATCATCTCGGCGGCGGGCATGTCTCCGCCGAATTCCGAGGGCAGACAGCGGGCGGACACTTTCTGGTGGAGTTGTTTCAGAGAGTCGTGAACCTTGAAATAGTATATTACATTACTAGTGTGGCCAGTGACATATTTCGCGCGAGTGGACGTTTAGCACGAGCCAAGGGCGTCGCCAGAGAGGGGAAGGGTGGGGCAGCTGCCCCCCCCCTACGGTTAACGCTCACCAGTCATCCTGCTATCATTGAAACGACTATTTCATTCATCACATAATCTGACCAATCACAAGCCAGAGAAAACGTGTGCTTATCGCGAAAACTAGATGTTTTCAACGATGTAACCATGGGTAGCGAGGCGAAGTCTGTCAATTTGGCAAAAAAATAATGACTGTACTTGTCAGAATGAATCATTCATTCAAAATAAATGCTTGTTTGCTTCGTGAACGTGAAATAGTCCCCACTATGTTCTGAATATATTCTCATAATCCTTCATTTCCTTGTCAAATCTATTGTGTTGCCGTACAGCCCTACATTTCGTCCTGACTCGTGGTGTTGCTCAGCAACACAATTTCGTGAAAATGAGGCGACAGAATTATCTCGAATATTAAGAATATCGTGATATTACTTATGATAACGCTCACTTTGAGCAAAGAACTTCCGAAAGTATATTTTTCTCCTGAAGTTGAGGAGGCTCTGAAGATCCTTGTTGCCTTTACCTTGTAAGATTTGTACAGTTGAAAGGTCATTTAGTAGCCTTAGGAGAATCAAAACCTGGTTGAGGAGCACCATGTATGATGCTCGGCTCAATGGCCTCGCAATGATGAGTATACACAGGCAACATATTTTCAAAAACTTGAACGATTTCGTCAAAAAGTATGGAACGCCGTTTTATTTTTTATTCGACATGGACTGAATGTTCCATTTCAATGTTACTTATTTGTCATTCTAGTTGACATAATTTTAATAGAATAGTTTTCATTATCAGAATTGGTATTCACATTGTTAATAGTAATTTTATTACCTTAACGCATTGGACATAGCAATGTGAATGTATCCTGCCTATCAATTTCCATGGGAAATATATTCAATTTCATTATCGGGAATTGATTTCTATTTTGTCCACAAGCATTTCAATTGCAAATAGAAATTTGAAACAATATTTTCATTCTCGATTGAATAAGAATAATGTATTTTTATGGTACATGCAGTACAGCAGAATGTAATCTATAAAATTTTATATATGCGACAACTGTTCTTAACAAGTGGAATTAGAAAGCCATTTCGTTTTTCAATTCCAAGTAGAAATGTTGTTTCAATTTGAAAATAGAATGGAAATTGAATTTGTCCACATTTTCACAAATGCCATTGAAATGTACTACAATTTGAAATATCACATCGATGCTAAGAACAATTGAAATGTAAAACGGCCATATAGTTTTTATTCACAAAAAAATTGGATGTAAAATTCCACATTACCCTTTTAGTTGTATGACTTTAAAAAATGGCATATTGAAAAATGAATTTCTATTACACATGCATTTTTATGGGACATTGAATTATATTGCATCTGTAAGAAGCAAACTCTTCACATGCCATAAAATACAAGTGACAAAACAATTCAAGTAACATGGAAAACTACTGGCGCCCTCTCTGGGAAAGAGGAAATTTTTTTTTCTCAGAAGCGGTGCTAGATGGCGCTACTGTTTTTTTATATCACTTTGATTTGAATGTCAGTTACATTTCCATTCCAAGTTAATTTTTTTGCTATACGGAAGACTCGTGGTACCAACATGCAATGGAAATTGATGTGCCATAACATATATAATAGATACTTTTGTACTCGCATTCTCATTCTACTTTGATTTCTATGTAACATTACTTCTCATTCAACTTTAATTTTATTTCTGCTTTCATTTTTCTGCTACTTCAATATCCATTGCATATAAGCTGTCGCAACCGTTCATATGCAATTGAAATCAAAGTCCCATTTGGATTCGACTTAGTTAAAATGTCTCTTCGATGTCAGTGAGGCCAAAGTGTAATGGAAACGCAAGTGAAAAAAGAATTGAATAACATTCGAATGCCATATGAATTTTCATGTTACTTCGATGTCAGCTACAGCAGAGTGTAATGTAAATGAAAATGCAAGTGACATAAGAATTGAAATGCATTCGAATGCGACTAGATTTTTATACTACTTTGATGTCCGCGATCGCAAAGTGTAATAGAAATTCAACTGGCAAAAGAATCAAATAACATTTGAATGCGACTTCATTTTTATTCTACTTTGATGTCCGCGATCGCAAAGTTGAATAGAAATTCAACTGGCAAAAGAATCAAATAACATTTGAATGCGACTTCATTTTTATTCTACTTTGATGTCCGCGATCTCAAAGTGTAATGGAAATTCAACTGACAAAAGAATTATATCACATTTCAAATGCGACTTGATTATTATTCTACTTTGATGTCCGCGATCGCAAAGTGTAATAGAAATTCAACTGGCAAAAGAATCAAATAACATTCGAATGCGACTTGATTTTTATTCTACATTGATGTCCGCGATCTCAAAGTGTAATGGAAATTCAACTGGCAAAAGAATCACATAACATTCGAATGCGACTTGAGTTTTCATGTTACTTTGATGTCTGTGACTGCCAAGTGACAAAAGAATGAAATATCATTCTATTTTGACTTGAATATCCATGGCATAGGTATACAAATTCTTAATTGCAATGCGAATATTCATTCTTATTCTACTTCGATACCTACGACAACCAACGACACACGACGTATCGAAACAGAATGGAAAACAAGCACGCCGTTTCATTTTTAATTCTACTTGGCCTTCATGTCCCATTCGAATTAAGTTCTCAAAGGCGTACGAAAATATTTTATATAGGTAGGTGCCTATTTCGGATTGAAAATATTTTATTAAAATCATGTGTTCATTCCTTGATTGAGCAATACCTAGGTAGGCTACCTCCATCAACGGTTTATTGATTTTGAAAAAAGTGTGATATTGTGGGCGTACCTGCCAATTTTTTTTAGGGATAAAGAATAAAAGTGGAATTATTTTATAATCAAATATGAAAAATAGTCGTTACACGTGTCGAATAGGTTTTCGAGATTCGAATATATATATTCGCTGGGTAGATATGTACAGGGTGTCTCCTTATATTTCGACCCCTACCTATACAGCTTCAACTATATGAGGTGGAAAAAAACTTCAAATAGTATGAAAGTTGTATGGTTTCAACTTTCAACTGTACTATCTTTTGTCACTTGTTTGTTTTGTGTTCTGATATCAATGACATTCTGTTGTTTCCACGGTCATCTAAATGTTATTGACAATTTTGATTTTTGTTGTAAATAAGCTAAATAAGTAAGTGAAAACGGCTAAAGGAAACACTAGCAAACTATATATATTTGTAAACAGGAAAAAAATATCTTTCACTAGAGTTGAAAACATACAGGGTATTTTATTTAAAAAAATATATTTGGACTCATTTCATCAATTTCGCGATGCGCATCTGTTCGTTTGAGGAGAGCCAAAAGATAGTACAGATGAAACCCTACAACTCTCATATTTGAATTTTTTTCTACCTCGTATAGTTGAAGCGGTATGTAGGGGTCAAAATTTAAAGCCACCCTCTGTACTACAGTGCTTTCATTTCAATTTGCCCTACTTTTGAAGAGCTGTGAAATATTTATTTTCGGCAACCGTCCGGGATGTACCTACTTCCCGGACGCTTTTTCTTTGAGAAAGTAGCATTTCCAGGCCTAGTCCGGAAAGTACCCAAGTAGGTACTTCCATTTTTGTTGGGTGTTGAATGAATATAAGTAAATGATGAATTATCACAATCTCAATATATCTAGGATCGCAGCAGCAGCAGTTCGTTGTAACCAGTGAAATACTAAGTGCTGTTTTACTATATCAAGGAAAAAGCAGAAGGAAATCAAGGAGATGGTGGATTAGGCCATGGATGAAACCTCTGTGTGGTAATCTTTATTTACCTCTGGAGAATTCCTTAGTGCAAGCCTTGTGCAATTGACTCTCAATGTTGTGGCAATCATTTGAGAATGGATAATGAAGATAAAACGGAGAAGAAGAATTTCTGAGGCTATTTTAAGTGTTGAATCCACGTCTTTTTATTGTATCCAATGAACTGTATACTAACGTAGTAACGTACCTCTAGAACGGCAACGAAGCGCGAAGTGTGTCATTATTAATATGGCGATACTAGCGCCTCTGTCGGAATTTCTTTTCAGCTAAAACCTTATAAAAATTATAGGTGTCCCCAAGATTGTACCAACGTAACCATGGCAACTAGCCTTGAGTAAGAACACCTTCTTCTTTATAACAATACAACTTCAGCACACATTAGAATCCATATTATTAGTAAATATATGGGTAATAGGCGAACGTAAGCAAGCAGTACGCCCCCTACCGTAATCAGCCGTAACTAACTTCTGGGTTTTGTTTACATTTTAATTTGGGACTGTCTATATACCTGACTACCACCGCGGTTGAATACAAAAATATAAACAACCGCGCGGTTTTTACGTCTTAGGAATCAAAGAAAAGTCAAAAAATGGCAATGATATCGTTGAAAGCTTAGATCAGTGCATCCTACACCTTATTGAGCTACGCGGCGCCGTGGTGGTTGTTTATATTTTATTATGTTTTAGACGCTTCCAATTGAAAACAAAAAACAATAAAATAACCTCAAATAACCCAAAGAGTAATACCGATGGCGCTGCGATCTTAATTTCAGACGCCTATAGCATATATTTAACTAGCGACTAGGGGTACAAGGAGGCTGTGGCTTCCGCATGCGCATTACGTCGGGCGGTGACGCGCGACAATGTTGCCAAGTGTACTGGTTTGTGCCTAGAGCTTAGGAATCTGTGGTTTAAGGGGCTGTCAGCGAAAAATACATAAAACATATACAGTGTCATCCATAAAAAACGACTATCTTCATTGAAATATGAAGAAAAATCAGAAAAAACATTTCCCATTGGTGAGATCCTTAAATAATAGCTAAAAAGATACACAATATATGCAGCACATCATCCATAATAAAAGATGAC